TATAACATATCAGCAATGGCTTATTACCCGTGACAACTGTACCATCCTAATATAAGATGCTGGGAGGAGAGGGAACTGGTTGTGAAGTGTACAAGAACACGGTACCACCTTTGCAATTTTTCTGGGGGTCTAAAATATTCTAAGATAAAGTTTATGTGGGAGAAAAGGAAGTTTGCAGCACCTTTTGTGCTCAGTAGCAAGCTCATAGCAAGACTATTCCTTTTAGTAATGGACTGTGCTTGCGTGGCCTTCCGATGTGCAGGTCGCAGCCCGAGTTCTTAGCTGCAAGCGACAGAATGTACTCTGAGTAACTTCCGCAGGTGGGGGGACTGTGCTGTAGGACACCGAGTGGCACACAGAGTGTACGAGAGGGCCTCAGAGGCCATGCAGTTGGGACAGGGTGGGCATGCAGAACCGGCCCTGGAGAGACCCCACTGCTGATGCCAGGAACCCACCTGCAGTCGCTTATGCTCCACGTCGCATGGTCTGCCCTGGGATGGCACAGCCTCGGATGCAGCCACCCAATCTGCCACCTGGGAAGTGGGTGCAGCTGCCACCAATATCTTGCCAGAATGGCTTCTGCAAGTAGTTTGCAATTCAAATCAGGGGCATGAGTCAGGTTTGGCCAAGCCCAGGTCATGGTCCTGCTCTGTAGGAAGGAGACATGGCAGCGAGTATTTGGCATTTTCAGTTTCTTTTTACGATTTTAGTTGTTAATTTATTTGAGAGGAGGAAAGGGCCTGGGGGTGGAAGCAGCAGGTAGAGGGAGAGGGAGAAGCAGACTGCCCCCTGAACAGCAAGCCCGATGCAGGGCTCGACCCCGGGATCATGACCTGAGCTGAAGGCAGACGCTTAACCAACTGAGCCACCCACTTGCCCGCATTTTCAGTTTCTACAGCAGGAGGGTGTGAGGGCAAGACTTCAGGATGAGTCTGAGTGAGGACTGAGCTGGGTTTTTCTCCAAGTTGTTGATAAATTGGCATTTCCTTTCACTGGGTCTATGGGACAAGCCAAGGAAACCCAGTTAAGATGGGGATCACTATCGAAGAGAAGGAAGGATCTAGGTTATGGATGATCCAACTACACAGTGCTAAACCCAACGTAGACGGGACCAAAATATTTGTTTTTAGTAAAATCACTGAACAAGTATAATGGACTGCATTGTATTCCCCAAAATCCACATGCCAAGGCCCTACGCTGTAACTGTATTTGGAGGAGGAGGTAATAAGGAGGTAATTGAGGTTAAGTGAGTGTGTAATAGGCTCTAATCCAATAAGGACTGGGTCCTTCTCAGAAGAGGTAAAGACACAACAGCATATTCTCTCTCTCTCTCTCTCTCTCTCTCTCTCTCTCTCTCTCTCCTTCTAGTGCACACAGAAGAAAGGCCATGTGAGGACACAATGATACGGTAGATGTCTATAAGCCAAAAAGAAAAGTCTCAACCCTGATGGCCCCTTGGCCATGGACTTCCAGCCACCAGAGCTCTGAAAGACTAGATGGCTATAGTCTGAGCCCCCCATCTTTGGTGTTTCGTTATGGCAGCCTGAGCTAAGACAGCAGACAGGTTTTCAGGGGGAGTTGTTCTAGAGCTGGCAGAGATCTTGTTTTCTGGAAGCTCCTGTCATGGTTTCTGTGGAATGCTGTGAGAAGAATCGCCATCGTACAGACATCGCCTCCACTAAGCAGGGTCTACTTCCTGCTTAGGTATCAGAGCTGTTCACTCCAGTGGCCCTGTGCACGGCAGAAGGGCAGGGGGCAGAGCTCTAGCTTTTTAGTTAGACAACACAGATCTTGAGTCTCTCCTCTGCCACTTTCTAGGAGGTGACACTGGGCAAAGTATGTCTCTGAGCCTTCGCTCTGGGATGAGAGCCTATGCTCTTCCCAGTACAGTTGGAAAAGGTAGTCCAAAGGGGCCAGCTTTTCTCACAACACATGGTATTTGTTGTCACATAAAGGCAAGCCCTGCAGAGCCTGTGACTTCTTTCAAACAGGACTCTGCAATGCAGGCCAGTGCTATGGAAGAACACAGTGCCATTGGCTACACTGAGCAAAGGTCATTTGCACTCCAGGCAAGTAAAAACAGCATTAATGCAGATTATAACAAAACAGCTTTAAAAAAAAGAGAAGATTTTATTTATTTATTCATGAGAGAGAGAGAGAGAAAGGCCGAGGCAGGAAGCCTGACATGGGACTTGATCCTGGGTCTCCAGGATCCCGCCCTGGGCCGAAGGCGGCGCTAAACCACTGAGCCACTCGGGCTGCCCAACAAAACAGGTTTAAAAAAAAGAGAGAGAGAGAAAAGAGAGAGAGAGAGATTTGGATACAGACTTAATAATATACATAAAATTTTTATTGATTTTCTTAGTAATAACAATATATACAGGACTATGTTCTTATCTTTAGGAGATTTATGCTGAAGTAGGTAGGGATAAGGAGTCATGACGTTTGGAAATTACTTTCAAATGGCTTTGCAAAACAATTTTAAAAGAAGTAGAAAGCAAGATAGAGCAAATATGGGGAAGTGTTAAAGTAGATAATGAGCTCATTGAAATTGGTGACCTTGATAGATCCATTTTTCTTCATCTACTCACCATCCATTCACTACTACCTGCCCAAATCCATTCTCCAGTCTACTGGGCACATGGCGGGCACTCGATATATTTGGTGAATTCATATTAAAAATAAAATCCGCTTTACCTGCTAACATTTGCATAGCTAAGCAAAGACACGGTTCCAAGCCATTTGCAAAGAAATACCCACAACTAATGACTTTCATAAGTAAACATAATCTCCTTAAAATCACAATTGAACATTGATTTTTTTTTTTTCCTCCCAGAGTCTAGTATCAAGCAAGAGCCCACTTGTCCTCTGTCCCAAGATGCTCTTGTTGGACCCTGCGTTCTCGGAAGACCTGGCTTCCGGTACCCTATGCATTTCTCCCAATCCCATGTGCCCTCACTAGGGTCCCTTCCACGGCAACATCTTGAGAACAAACCATGTGGGAAAAGGAGTTCAATGGAAAATAGCACATGTGTTGTAAATTTTTTTTAAAGATTTTATTTATTCATGAAAGACACCGAGAGAGAAAGGCAGAGACGTAGGCAGAGGGAGAAGCAGGCTCCAGGCAGGGAGCCCGACATGGGACTCGACCCTGAGACTGCGGATCATGCCCTGAGCCAGGGGCAGGTGCTCAACCGCTGAGCCACCCAGGTGTCCCTGTGTTGTACACTTAAAAAAATAATTTAAACGAACTAGCATTGGAAAACATTTATTTGCAAGTAGATTTTTGTTGGTGGCATTAAGGAAGACACTGAAGAACATCATCTAAGAGATTATTTTGAACAGTATGGGAAAATGGAAATGATTGAGATCATGACTGACCGAGTCAAAAGAGTGGCAAAAAGAGAGGTTTTGCTTTCGTGACCTTTGACAACCATGACTCTGTAGACAAGATTGTCATTCAAAAATACCACACTGTGAATGGCCACAACTGTGAAGTAAGGAAAGCCCTATCGAAGCAAGAGACGGCTAGTGCTTTGTCCAGCCAAAGAGGCCAAAGTGGTTCTGGAAACTTTGGTGGTGGTAGTGGAGGTGGTTTTGGTGGGAATGACAACTTTGGTCATGGAGGGAACTTCAGTGGTCGAGGTGGCTTCGGTGGCAGTCGAGGTGGTGGTGGATACGGTGGCAGTGGGGATGGCTATAACGGATTTGGTAATGATGGAAGCAACTTTGGAGGTGGCGGAAGCTATAACGTTTTTGGCAATTACAACAATCAATCCTCAAATTTTGGACCCGTGAAAGGAGGAAATTTTGGGGGTAGAAGCTCTGGCCCCTATGGTGGTGGAGGCCAATACTTTGCCAAACCACGAAACCAAGGTGGCTATGGCGGTTCCAGCAGCAGCAGCAGCTATGGCAGTGGCAGAAGGTTTTAATTACTGCCAGGAAACAAAGCTTAGCAGGAGGGAGAGCCAGAGAAGTGACAGGGAAGCTACAGGTTACAACAGATTTGTGAACCCAGCCAAGCACAGTGGTGACAGGGCCTAGCTGCTACAAAGAAGACATGTTTTAGACAATACTCAGGTGTATGGGCAAAAAACTTGAGGACTGTATTTGTGACTAATTGTGTAACAGGTTAGTTTAGTTTCTGTTCTGTGGAAAGTGTAAAGCATTCCAACAAAGGGTTTTAATGTAGATTTTTTTTGCACCCATGCTGTTGATTGCTAAATGTAATAGTTTGATCATGACGCTGAATAAGTGTGTCTTAAAAAAAAATTATCAGACATTTTAAAAATTCTATTAAACATTTTCATATTCTTTCACTGTTTCAATTCATGCGCTATTGCTTTTTCTCTTATTCCAAAGGAAATTTTGGAAAAATCAGAAATCAAGGACAAGGAAAATGAAGTCATCCTCACCCCAAAATGACTGTCACATTGCTATAGGTTCTTTTGTATAATAATAATGATAGATATTACCACTTAGTGGGTGGTTACTATGGAGCAGGCACAAAAATATGAGAATATGGGATTTACAGATAAAGAAATCGAGGCTGAGAGAGGGTAAGTCCCTTGCCCAGGATCACACAGCTGGGAAGTGTGAGACCGGGATCGGACCTGTAGATCTGTTTACCTCCAGAGGCCAAACTTGTAACCATAGCACTACACTCTGTCCCATAAATCTCTGTCATTTTTTTTTCAGGTGAAACCATTTTATCTCATAGTTGTCTTCAAAACCACAACGACACTATGTTCTTCATATAAAAACATTAGTACAGAAAACTATACTTTCTAGGAATTGATTATATAGACCCTCTCAAAGAAAAATGCACACCATCATATGGTTTCAGACAAGTTGTTTGGGAATAACACCTCTGGACTGATTCCTAAAACATACCATAAGACCACACTGAATCTTTTGGTTCAAAGTATAGATTATTGTCATCAGTATGGACTCCTGCATTCTTACGTATTTAATAATACACATATAGACTGGTTTGTGACTTAATGTTGCATTGGTTCATCAGCCTTTTCTGCAGGGGTATCAGCAGGTTGAGCAGGCTGTGCTTTTCTCTGTGGCCTTTCTTCAAGACCTTGGAGGAATGGAGATACATCACCCTCATCATCAGTCATAAACCCCAATTCTTTAGCAACAATTCCAAAGGAAACATTCTTTGTAGTTAAGTCCTGTTCTGCAGGAAGTGTCTCTCGTAAGGCACGCAGACCATGTTTAACCAGTTCATTCATATTGCATTCCATAAACCCAGACATATGTCTCTCCAAGTAAGTATGAGCTGATTGAGAACGGGCTCCAATGGACATGGCTCTACAGTCAAAATAGTTGGCAGATGGACAGATTTGCAAAATGTGAGAGCCCGTATCCTCATAACCAGCAATAAGCAGGCCAACACCATATGGTCTCCGGCCATATCGTCGTGTCGGTATCTGGGTCTTGCTTCCAATTAGAGATACAAGACGAGACACAGGAAGAGGTCTGTCAAATACAAATCTGGAATCCAAACACTCCTGGTGCATAAAATTACATAACGGTCTAGCAACAGCAGTAAGTCCCGCAACTGAGATACCAATATGGTTATCAACATGGAGAATTTTCTTCTGATGGGCCGCAAGCTCTGACTGTGCTCTCTTCAATGCAACCAACACTGCATGGGTTTTTGATTTCAGACCAACTGTGGCTGAGCCTTGTTTGACAGTTCCCATCACATCCTCACTTTGATGCGTCCTGCCCTGAGGGCTCCAAAAAGTGGCATCAATGTCACACTAGTTGCAAAACATGCTTTCCAGCGCTGGTCTGGCTGCGGCCTCCTGCAGAGGTGCAGATTCAGGAACCGTCTCTGTCATTTCTTTACAAAAACAAGATTCTATCAGACAATCCTCTACTGTTGGATCATTACATTGCTTCCAGTTTGGGTTCATTTTCTTTTAAAAAAAAATATCTCATTTACTTACTTATTTTGGGTTTGGGTTCATTTTCTTAAAAAAAAAATCTCATTTATTTACTTATTTTAGAGAAAGAGAGAGAGAGAGAGAGCAGGGTGAGGAGCAGAGGGAGAGGGGCAAGCAGCCTCCTGAGTGTGGAGCCCGATGTGGGGTTCGATCTCACGACCCTGAGATCACGACTAGAGCCAAAATCAAAAGTCAGATGTTCAACCAAAGGAGCCAACCAGGCACCCCTTGTGTTTGTTTTCTACTGCTGCTGCTGTAACAAATCACCACACATTAAATGTCTTAAAATAACACGTATTTATTCTCCACCATGGTTATGTCCTTATACCATAGGGCACCCTGTGCTGGCGTCTTCCCCAGGGTGGCCGGTCCTATGTGATCAGGAGGATAACTGAAGACTTTCTGTAGCCTGAGATCCCGAGGGCCTGCCCTTTAGAGCACCCCTGCGTGAATCTCTAAACTATATAAACTAAATAGCTCTCCCAGATGTTCCTTACCCCCTACTGGACGTGGTGGGAATTCCTGGATCTTTATCCAAGAATCCCCTACAAAGTCAGGGGCACTTCCTCTGCCCATTTCTGGGCAGTGCTGCATCGCCACTCCCAGGCCGCACCAAAGGTGGACTTCTCTGAGGGCCTTAGAGCACCAGCCCAATATTTTTTAATTCCCCCAAATAGCAGGTGGGGGAATTTCGTCTACATGCACTTCCTCTCTGAGTTTCAGCCCCACAGTGGAACAGGGTATTAGCCGCTGCCACACTAATGCTGTATAATGAACCACTTCAAAACTCAGTGGCATCCAACAATTAACATCTTTTTTTTTTTTCCCCACTCCCACATCTATGGTTTGGCTGGGGGAGCTCTGCTCCAGGCCCAGGGCCACGGGGGTGGGCTCCCGGTTGGGGCTGGATTCCCATTTAGCCCACATGACTCTATATTCTCCTTGGACCTGTCAGAGACACATTCTTCCCGTGGACAATCAAAGAAGCGCTAGAGAACATGCAAACACATTGCCTTTTAAGGCCTTGGCTCGTCCGTTCACATCCCACTGGTTTAATCAAGCCCCTCTGCCGAGTCCAGCACCAGTGAGGCAGGGAAATATGTTCTCTCATTGTGTGTGTGGCAAGGTCACAAGACCGGGAGAGAGCCATGTTCGGGGATTTACGAGAAACTAGGAGGAGGGTAAAGCTCTCTCTTGCCAGGAGCCTTTGAGAAGACTTCAGAGACAAGATGACTTCTATGCTGTTTTTAAAAAATAACAGCTATTTACCAAATGGCTCCGGGAGGAGGGCTACTCTGAGTAGAATTTGCAAGTTCAGGGACCAAGAGGTGGAGAGCACCTATTGAGTCCCCAAAGCCTGGTGTGAAGAGAATGAGGCTGGTGAGAGGGGCCGAGTCAAATCCCAGAGGACTTCATGAGCCAGGCTAGGGATTCTGAGGGTTAGACTTCACTCCAGAAGCCATGAGGAGTCTGTGATGGGTTTTATACAAAGAAGAGGCCTGACCAGCCTTGCACGGGGGAGGGGGAGGTACATGTGGGTTCTCTCACTTCCACAGCAGCCCTCTTCCCAGGAGGATCCCCTACTTCCAGTCACCCGACGCCCCAAATGCTTGGGTGGTCTCCTTTGCCCCCTCACATTGAGCATCACCACTCAGGCCTCACCTTAGCAGTGAAAGAGGTCTGAGGAGGATCTTTCAATGACCCTTGGAACACAAACTGCCCTGTTTCACGTGATCTACTTAACAAAACTTGGGTGGCTGTAGACCATTGATATAAATTCCCCTAGTCTCCACAATATTTATTTTAGTCGGTGACTAGGAATGTTTGAACAGCATACAAATTTACGGTCAGAAAATATTAGCTCCTAAACACTGCCACCCTACACCCCAAATCACCTCTTTAAATTCAGATTGTTTTCCCATTCCATCATTTGCAATCAGAGTTTTCATCTTGGACAGATTTTTACAGGTCAGCCCTACACCAGGGATTTATTTGTGCCCATAAACAAAACCCCGATATTAATCGCAAACTATTTCTGATTCTCGGTTAACATTCTTAGACATCTTGAGTCCCAGGGGGCTCTTTGCCCTGTCATATGAAGATGATGTTTCAGGATTTATATTTCCCCAAAGAAGCGAGTAGATCATAAAACTTAATGTATTCCGTGGTTTGGAATGATAATTTCGTAAAGAGGTGAGGGAATATTTCACTGTGGATCATTACAACATCCATGTAAGTTGTTAATATACTACTTACTACTTCCCTTTAAATATTCATCCAGTTCCTGTTTATAGACTAGCTCCTATGTCCCCAGCGTGGGCTGTGGGTGGGTCATGTGCCGGGGACGGGGACTAGTGAGGACAAAGCTGTGGGCAGCTTCCTGGCTTGGGGTAGGAAGGGCTGGGGATGGAGACAGAAGGGAATATGCCAGAGACAAAACGACCCGTTGTGACCAGCATGCTGGACACCAAGAGGGGAGAGAGTTTGGCAAGGAGGAGGGGCGGCAGGGGTGAGGGGGGCGGACATCAGGATCCAGGACGACGCTGTATGTGACCACAGGGTGTCTGTCCCTGACACTCGGCCAGGTTGGGCAGAGGTGTGTGTTTGTTGGTTCAATGGAATCAGAATCAATTTAGCACCGATTTGGACTCTGTATTTACTGATACAGGGTGAGAGGGAGACAATGGTTAGAGATCACCTAGTCCACCCTGCCCATTCCACAGATGAGGAAATCGAGGCCCACAGAAAGAAAAGAACGTTCCCATTCTTTGTGGGGACATGGGCAGTGGAACAGGTGAGCGAGCACACACGAACTCCCGAGGGGGAGCCCATCTCCCTGGACGAGCTGCAGGATTCCTGCAGGCCCGAGGCCGGCCACTCAGAGGCCCCCAGCTGCCACCAGCAGCCAGGGGTCCTGCCGGCCTCCCTCACCACCGTCCCCTTCCGCCTGTGCTCTATGATGTCCCGGGGTCCGACCTCTTGGCTCCCCCAGCTCTGGGGAGACTGTGGCCACCAGGGCAGGGACACTCCAGGTGGCTGCTCCCCATGCCCCAGGCCTGGCCTCTCCTGAGCAGGTACCTGGGCTCCCCTGAGGGCAGCAAGCTGTGAGCAGTCAGACGCAGGCCCAGGCTGGGCCGTCAGGAAAGGCCAACCACCCTTCGGAGTCAAAAGAGAGAGACTATTCTTGGCCCCCTCCTCCCGATTCGCACGGCCGTGATCGTTCTCTCTCAACACTGCTCAGAGGCCCGGGCCAGGGGACACCCCGAGAGAGCCCATCGCCCGATCCCTGCAGAGGTCACGCCGCGAGGCGGCGTCAGAACCAGGGCCAGAGGGCAGCCCGGGGGGCCCAGTGGTTTAGCATCTGCCTTCGGCCCAGGGTGTGATCCTGGAGACCCGGGATCGAGTCCCACGTCGGGCTCCCTGTGTGGAGCCTGCTTCTCCCTCTGCCTGTGTCTCTGCCTCTCTCTCTCTCTCTCACTCTCTCTCTCATGAATAAATAAATAAAATCTTTAAAAACAAACAAAAAAAAGAACCAGGGCCAGAGCTCTCTCTCACCCGCCGTGCACCACCTGCCCTCGCCCTCCTGCCCTTGAGCTCTCAGACGTAGGGACGTGGCTCGGCGCCCTGGCCACAGACCAGCCCCCTTCTGTGGCACCCCGAGGACCCGTGGGCGCCTCGGCCTCCCGCCCCCGCTCCTCGACAGGCAGGAAGGATCCTGGCACAGGCTCCGGCGGCAGCAGCTCTGAGCGAAACCTCCTGTCCTCCCGCACCGTGTCCTTTCGAGCCCCTTCACTTCCCTCCTGCCGTGTAAACCACCCCATTTTGCAGGCGAGGCCACTGAGGCTGGGGGGCGTCAGAGCCCACAGTCCTCTGGACTTCCCGCACCCCGCACCCCGCTTCTGAAGGTGCCATCCCTAAACTAGGCTGCTCCCTGGGACTGGAATACGCTTTGAAGGTGCTCCAAAGCTCCTGGAATGGGGGGGAGTCCCCACCAACCTGCCTTAACAAAGTCATCTTCCACAGCCCCCCGTGTACCAGGTGGATTCCTGGGTCTGCAGGAACAGCCCATGTGCGGGCGACTGTCGCCCTCGGGTGGCCGAAGAACAAAGTGCTTCCTAGCCGACCGGGAGAACAAAGACGTGGTCTTCGGGCCTCCTCCACCGGCCACAGGGAATGTGGGGGACAGGTTTGTATCATGGGGGCCCTGGCCTTTGCTGCCATGGCTCCATGGACGGAGGACAGAGGAGAGGGACACCTGCTCAGGAGACAGCTGCCGAGGGCCGGCCGAGGCCAGGGGCTGAGTCTGAGGACGGGGGTGAAGATGTGGCTTGCCTGTCGCTTTGGCAGGCACTCGCCTGGGGGCCCGCTCCAGGGCTCTCCAGGGGTCCCCTGAGGGGACCCCCCACCCCCACCCCTCAGCTGCCACTGGAACCCGACCTCCAGGCCCAGCTCTCACCCTCTGCCGGAAGCCTGGCTTGTCCCACCGCCTCTCCCAGAGCAGGTGACAGCTGGGTGACACCTCCGCTTCCGCCTCTGCTACGGGTCAGGGTGAGTGGGGACGGTGGCCCATGTCTGCTCCACTTGGTATTCCTGAAGGCAGGGCTGGTCTGTTCAGCTCCCAGAATGAGGCCGGGCCCAGCCTGGGGTGGGTGAGCATGTTTGCTGAATGAGAGAAAATTTCAGGCGGTTCTGGGCCCTGGGTAGGCCCTGCCCAGCTACGGGCTCACTGGGTCACGGTCACAGCTGCAACTGCA